AAAAAAAAAACAATGTCAAGTTATAACAGTATGATAATTTTTTACATAATAATATAGGTATTTGTTTCTTTTTTTATGATCCAGATTACGGAAGCTCTGTTATTTTATTTTTCTTAACTAATTCCATGAGATACAAGCCAAATGGTATCCATTCTAAAAAGTAACACCGATTTAAAGGTCTTACTACTTCAATGGTGACAAAAGTCTCTCAGCATTTTAATAGTGTTTTTTTTCTTTTTTTTCCTCTTAAGGAAAAAAACGTGTGGGAATAGTACATAGGAATATATAAGCTTTCATCAATAATCAATGCTCCACCTAAGGACTCTGGAAGCAAAACTGTTAATGACCCTGCAAGGTATCAAATGTCCATGATTTCTTTGTGTTTCAATCATGATCTATTCCCATATAATGCTCACCTTCTGTAGCAAACTGTTCTAAATGTTTTAGGGTGATTTCTTTGTACTTTGAAGTCTCTGCAAGTCGTTCATAAATTACTGTATCCTGGAAAATAAGCAGAAGGTACGGTGGATTAATTAAACATCCTGGATTTAATAAAACTTAGGTTAGTAAAGTTATTAGTTGAGAATCTGAAAAAAATCCAAAAAACCAAAACCCAAAAAGCCTCCCTGTGTTTTCTTTTAAGCACAGAATATTTTTTTTTTGTTGATGAGTAACAATGCCTCCCCAAAGACAGGAAGGAGTACAGCTGGACCTGTGGGTTTGCATCCATGGAGTCAATCACTCACAGACAGTAAATGTAATCTGGCTTGTAAGGTCTACGGAGAACATGCACAGACTTTTGCTTGGGATAATTCCATGGGGAGACAGTACGACAGTACTTTCCTCATAATGTTTGCAACACAGTAAGAATTGTAACACATCGAAAATTTGCTGGAAATACAGAGAAGGAACTGGCCTGGTGGCCTCCATTTGTACTCTTGGCATCTGGAAAATGGAGGCACCAGGTGACTGTGTAATATACTGAAGAGAACTATCCCTGAAGGTTTTGTAGAGCTTTGTGAATTGTATTTAGCAGAGAATGTTCTACAACCAAGGGAATATTTGGGAAGTGCTGGCCAGACAAAGAGCCTGCGCTCTGCAGTTCCTCTGTGAGTTGAAGCCTCAGTGGCTACAGTGTACACAAAACTTATCCAACCATAGAACCTTCCAGGGACAAGAGCACTGTTACTGGTCTGTGCTCACAGAGTGAGGCAGCACTGGATTACCAAATGTCCTGAGATGTCTGGTGGGGACAGGCTGAGGACTACAACCCCGGTGCTGCCTCAAGCAGCCGGTGTCTCTGCATCTGTGTCTAGCTTTAAAACTTGGTTGACTTAATTTGTAAACTAAAATTCCTGGATTAAAAACAACATCATTTCTTTGAAATTTTCAAACAGTGTGTTTTGATCCCATTGTAAAGTCCTGCTGACTTTAACTTTATGCACCATTTATTTTTCTCTGCTCTTTTCTCCTTTATAGATTGTCTATTGTTCCCCTAGTTATTCACTGGCTTTGGTTTAATGTCTTAAAGAACTTTAGTATTCAGCCTTCATGACTTTTTATTAGACCAGGAAAAAATAAATCATTTACCTGCAATTACTCTCTCCGTGGTAGTACCCACAGTGGGGTTTCTAGTCTTGGGCTGAGATCTGGAAGCTGACTAATGGAGTATGATTTATAGCCCTTGAGAGAAACACAACCAAGTGACCTCAGAGCAGATGGAATAGCCCAAGCCCCAATTATGGATTTCTTTTCATTTTCCAGTAGTGGGATGGGAAGGGAAACAGAGAAGGAAATGACAGTTGCCATCATGGCTCTTTCCTGGGAGGGAAGAGAGTCACTTTGGAGTTCTTTTATACAGTGGTTCCTGAAAATTTCCATGAGGTTAATGGAGGCCATTTTCAGAGGAAGAAAAATCTAAAAAACTTGAAAAAACAGAAGTGGTAAGTGAAAGAGGAGGGAGGTTGAATTCTGCAGTATATCTAAACAGACTGATGCTTGGAAGAATCAATTAATTGTCTTCGTTCTTTATGGTATTGAGAAGAGCAAGGGAGGGAATATGGCCTTCTGCAGCAAATGTAGGCTTTCGCATGGCAGTCACAGTGGTTGGTCATGCTTGCACGTGACTAATAAAATACTTAGATTCTTTTGAGGACACAATGCCCTCACATATTTAGAGGACTACACCAAGAGCCTGCCACATTTCCAGGAGTGAAAAACAAAACAAAACAAAACAAAACAAAACAAAAACCTCTCCACAGACACTAGAAGAGGTATATGCCATCAGATCAGACAGAGCCTGCCACATTTCCAGGAGTGAAAAACAAAACAAAACAAAACAAAAACCTCTCTACAGACACTAGAAGAGGTATATGCCATCAGGTCAGATTTAGAATTTATGGAAAGATCCTCAGGGGATTTGGTTATCTTTTACCCTGGCCCTAGTAAGGAAAAGCTAGAAAACCACAGTGACCAGATATTCTTGGGGATGGGACAGCACAGCCAAATTACTGTTACTGTGGATGGGCCCAGGGCTTTGTGGAAAGTTAAACCCATGGCTGATCATTCCTTTTTGGTGAATGTTCACTCAAAGAATTGTTTTCCGCCGGGTGGTGGTGGGGCATGCCTTTAATCCCGGCACTCGG